ATTTTTTAACCCCTGACTCTTGTCCGCGCGTGCCGTGTTTTGGCCCTTGCGGGTACTACACTCTTATGACCATAATGGTTGAGGGGCTTGCCCCAGTTTTTGTTTTTAGCCGTCTCCGTTCTAACAGTTGGTGTCGACATTGTGTCGACTGCAAAATCATGAGCGGATACCCTTGTAAGGGTATCAGCTCCGACACCGTAATTACACTTGGGGCTGGTCGTTCGGGGGTAATCTGTTCCAGATAGGTGACAGGACCGGACACAAACCCCATGTTTTCAAACTTGTTATGTAGTGCAGCCAAGGCAGCTTTAGCCCTCGCCAGTTCGGACGAGTCTCCTTCCCTAGGATAATCTTCTCCTTCTATGAAACTCGCAGCGAACTTTCGTTCCATCTCTTCCGCGGGCAACATGATCTGTTGCAGTGTGTGGTTGATGGAGGAGAATTGTTTTCGCAGTTTCGCGCTCATCACTCTGCTGCGAAGTCCATCAATGGACTAACTTCCTTATGCCAGGCGCAACCTCTTGCTCATCTTTCACCATTGGGCCTTTCACAGCTAGATCATCTATGTACGACTTAGTAATTTGCGGACTGATTGGCTGCATGACTCTCACCATACTCCTTTGCACCATGGCTACCGCGTTCGTCCATCCTTGGGGTGCCACGTTCATGAGAATCAATCCCCTTGGAGTATGCATTGTCGTTATCGGTCTATCTGCCAGATACACTGGGAACTGGTCATAACCTGAGTAGATATCTATGAGCGAGATAATGGACATTCCAGCACCGGCTTCAGAGAGTCGATCAGCGTTAGGGAGCCCTCCAGCATCCCTGACCGTTACAGCGTTCAACCTTTGCAAATCTTGCACCCACCTGAGTACTCCATTTGGCTTGATGAAGCAGAACCATGGTGAGGCATAAGGTCCGCTAGAGAATCCTGCTACATGAGAACCAATCTTCTCGTCAAGGTACTCTACCACCCTTCTTTGATTATCGGGATTTGGATACCTGACTCCTCTAACATTCCAAGGTTGATGTGAGACTGTGTGGATTCGGATCATCCCTATCTTGTCCACATCCAACCTTCCTCTCTGCTCATCGTTTAAGGCATAGAGGCAGTGTTTCTCCTTCATTAATTTAATTACCAGCGCGCTTTCCTGCTTGGTTAAGAACTCAGGTTCTCCAATGATCAGGTCTTTTTCAGTCTCTTTGTTGATACGACATAATTCAACTTCCCATTTCTCTTTCATTTGCCTAATCAATTCTCGTTCTTGCTCATAGTACACTCCCTCCTCCTATGTCATTAGGACTGGGACAGGATGACTATTTTTATCTACCGTCTTGTATCTCCTTTTCCCCCCTTGCTTGAGCCCACCCCTAAAAAATGCTGACCGCTTGCTTGAGCATATGGTCCCTGCACTTTTTCCTCTCTAGGGGGCGGCCTGTACACCAATTTCATCCTTCCTCCTTCAGGGAAATCATACAATTTGTCAGTCAAAGCCCGAACGGCCCCCGGTTTCGCTATATCATACGCGGACATGTACATGGCTTGGTCGATGTTGGCCAGACTCAAGGCTAAACCTCCACTTTCTTCTTCCTCTTCTTCCTCATCAGACGCCCACTCTAATTTTTTTCTACTATTTTCAGATTCCTCAAAGGTATATGACTCAGCATTGAGCCGGTTCTTCGAGCTATGAGGACCTGTATTTTTACAGGTAATGACTTCGAAGTTATCACAAGCAGGGTCACATAGAATTACGTACATGGTCCCATCAGGCTTGTTCATGATAAGGGACACTGATCGTGACAAGAAGGACCTTCCTAGTAATATAAGAAGATCCAAAGTAGGCATGATGTACAAACAGGACTGAACTCTGACACTTCCTATTTCCACAACCACATTCGAGGCGATCCCTATGTAACCTGACTTTCCACTAGCCCCATTAAGGTATCCAGAGTCCCTCCTGTCAATTTTCAACCCTAGCTTTTCAGTTGTTTCAAGATTCATGATATTCATTTCAGCTCCTGTGTCCACCATCCCAGGACATCCTTTCCCTCTGATATTAACGTCTATGGATCCTGTCCCCACAGATTTCCAGTTCATTTTACTCTCGGCTACTGTCCAATTGGCCTCCTTGGGAATCAGATCTCCCATCCTCACCGTTGCTACTCTCTTTCTTGCCAATTTCGCTTTTACTAACTCCCCGAGTTTGGGTGTCGTTGCCAAAATCTCTTTTAGGTTTAGCAATTTATTATGCCCCCCAAGACGCTTATTTACCAAATTCTCCAGATCAACCCCCTCTTCAATCGATGTCTGGTACTTCCATTTCTTCCTTGACTTCTCCCCAGCTTTTTCCTTTCCTCCCTTAGCATCAATCTTCCGCTTTTTAGTCTTCAGCTCAGCTTATCTCTCTTCTTCCTCCTTAGGTAACTCATCTTGTTCCTCTTCTTCCTCTTCCTCTATCTCGATAGAGGCTCCCCCTTGAGGTGGTACAGGAGCTTGTGTAGTTTCCTTGGGCGCATTTCCTCCTTTAGGTCTCCGTGGAGTATGAGGAACAAAGTTCATCAGCGCCTGATAAGCGGCTTCTGACCCAGCAGCCAGAGTGGCTCTCAAAGCTATGGGGTTATGATCCCTTGGTCCATCATCCTCTTTCCCCTGACTCATCGTGAATACATGTGGCATTTTCATTTTTAGGTTCCTCACCTCCTCGCAGATATCAGACATCTTTATATTTAATCTGCCCATCTTATCTATCATGTCTTCCATTCTTCCCAGGGTTTCCCTTGCCGATTCTCTGACTTCATTATCTTCTTCTGGCTCAATTTCAACTAGTGGCATATTCTCTCCTTCCTCACTAATCTTCACTCCTATCTTTAATTGGTCACTTAGCTCATCAACTTCTTCCACCCTAACAAAAGGATCCTCTTTCTCCTGCTATATACGAAACATGGCAGGGGCACTTGGTCTAAGTCCTGCAACTCTGATGGCTTCTTTTCTTGTGCCTCCGTGGATATTTGGGCCGATTTTATCCCCCCTCTTATCGAACACATCCCCGTCGATACTTTATGTGATCAAGCCGTCTTATTCATTCATCCTCCTAACATGACACCTTCTTACGGTATCTCCTTTTATCGTACAGTGCGTACATACGCACTCGCTGTAGTCTATTCATCCTCTTCCGGCCCCTTGACCATTCCATTGTCCATCGCTTCTTCCAAACCCTCTTCCGTGGTTCTGGTTATAGCCTTGACCGTAACCCTGGCCATAACCCTGACCAAAACCTTGGTTGTAACCTTGTCCAATTTGATTAAAGTTCGACTGATTGTAGTTTCCAGTCTGATTACCTCCTTGATTTCCCCAATTCCCACCTTGTCCACAAGTTCCTCTTTCTCCAAATCCTCTTCCTCCATTGTCATTTCCTCTTCCTCCATTTCTCCCCTTACCATGTCCTTGACCGTGCCCCTATCCCTGAAATTGTCCTTGGTTACCTTGTGGCGGTAGAACCTGTTGTGGCATCCCCCCACTTGCTCCTTGCCCTTGGGATGGTCCTGCCCCAGTTCCTTGAACTTGGGGCAAATTTGGGTTCATCCCAATTTGACAAAAACCAGGCCATTGATTCCCGGGGTAATATCCCGGTCATGCCCCCATAGAAGCTACCATTGGCCATGGTCCGAATGGAGGAACCGGGGCTGAAGTCCCTGCGACATTCGGTGCCCCAGTTTGTTGTGAACTTTGTCCTTTTCCTCCTCCCTGTTTCCTCGGTGCCTGATTTTGGTTCTGCTTTTGGGTTTTCTTAGCTTGTGTTGCCACTTCAGGTTTTGCTTCTCCTTTATTTTCATTACTCTCCTCCTCATGTCTCCTCTTATTTGTCACTTGTTTAACTGCCATTACCTTTCCCGACTCCACCTTGTCCTTCAACTCTTTTAGTTGAGTGATCATGTTGCTCAACAGTCCTCCTAAGGCTGAGTCAGCTCCTTGGACGATACCCATTTCCTTCCTTCTTTTCCTTTCCATCTCCACTTGATAGCGGAATACTTGGTCGAGATCCCCAGATACCAAATTTTTCTTTATCGTCTCTCAGGACGTCTTCTTCCCCGGTGCCCCTCCTCGGGTCAACTCCATAGTCTCATATCCTGAGAACTTTCCAAGAAAGATGACACACTGCATCTCCTCTGAAAGCCCTGACACTTGTTTTGCCATTTTATCGAAGGTCGTTACCAACGCCCCTATCGTGGTGAAATCATTTCGGTTGACATTATAAAACAGGTCGATTGTCAACAACCCATCTCCCAGCTTATACTTTCTTTGCATTTCCATTTTGAAATTGTTCCAGTTCCCTTGAGCATCGGCCACAATCTGTTCAACGTCGGGGCGATATTCCCACCACACATATTCAAACAACTGGGCAAATTTTTCCGTCGGCGTTAGTCGATTAAAGACTTGCTCCAGCAGCTCAAGCCAGTGCAATACCCTTTCTCCCTGGAATGGAAAAATTTTTATCCGGGGTAGTTGGGACCTTCTGACATTTTTATTGTCCAGTAGTCGTGCGATCTCGGCTGCTGTTATGGGTTCCGACCCATTTGCGTCTCCCATTTTTCCCGCTTGTTCTTTAGCAAATCTGTGTTGCAAAGACAAAAACGATGGGTTTTCGGATTAAATTTTTGGGTCGCTTCACCCTTTTTCCTTTTTAAACTTTTCCCTTTTTATCCCATACACCATTTAAAACTTTCTGCATCTACATTTATAGTTTATGATTCCTAACTTTCCTCACCAATCGGCACTCACTAGTTTCCCTAACCAGTATTCCTACCTTGCTTTTAAATACCCAAGTCCAGCCTCCTCTGTCATCTTAAGATCAAAAATTGATCCTGGTCACCTTCCCAGATCCCTTTACCATCCCATTCGTCCAATCTCTTCAATGGACACTCAGTCGCCTGTCTAGGAATCATACATCATCCCAAACATTATCGGATACCATCAACACATGCCCTGATTTTTAGCTCTGCCTTAAACCACAGGTCCCCCCGCCACCGAAAACACCTGGTACGGGTGAGTTAGGGCCAGGTTGTACGGAGGGGCGGCAACCGTACTGAGGCGCTGGGTTGTGCGGAGGCCGACGGGTCCAAATCCCGCCATTTTCCAAGCGGCAACTTTGCCGATTTTTCGTGCTCGGAGTAATTCACCAAAATGTCTGAAAATTTGAGGGTCCGTAGATTAGGTCGTGATCTTTCAGGGAAAAATATCAGGAAAAAAAGAAATCATTTTCACGGTGAAATAATTGTCGTGCCGATTCGATTTATTTGTTCCAAAGACACATTCTCCTTCTGACCACTATGTTCAAAGTATCAAAACAAAACCTCGTCACTACCAACGTATGACTAATCCTCAGATATCATAGGAGTTATATACGACTGATTATGAATATTGAGGTATTACCACCGGGAACCTTTCCCACTTTCACAAGTGTTGAGTGTCCAGAATTCTTCAACAGATCAGGTCCAGTTCAATCTCAAACTCACGAACAAAACAGACCTGCACAACATAATGCAAAGACAGTTCATATGCCATGCACTAACGACGTCAACCATCAACCATTGATATTGTCCCTCACTTCCCAAACCATGTATGACAACTTTATCTTTCCTGAGATGCAAGCCCAGCCCGCTCACATTTGTTCAAAAGACCCTTGAGAATGACTAGAACCATTTAGGCAACGACCACAGGAGACATTTTTATTGTCCACAGGGTTTGATTTTAGATGTAGGTATCAAGCCAAGGCAGGAAAGTTGAATCGGCAACGACCGGCCTGTTATCGAGTGATAATAGAAAATTGAGTCTTTTATGTAGAACTTCTCTTTTAATTGCAGTAGACCAAAGCAAAGACCTGCAAACACACAGGTCAACAATGATTCAACATCCCCACTTGATTCCCACATAATGACATCTAAGGGTCAAACCCTTAGTTCAAGTTTGTGAGTTTTGGGATCAACATCCCAAAGTCTAACCCCTAGCTTCTATCTACCCTGAGTCGTCCGTCACTCTTCCTCCTTTTATTTCAAGAAGTTTATTTGCCTATGTCTCAAGTTGCCCCAGGGAAACTCATAGTTACCCTTACCATCAATACTTGCAGTTTCTCTCTTGCAGATAAGCACACTCTTTTGTACTTACGCGGTAATCTAATTGAGATCTACTCATGTCGTTCGGTGGTTTCTCCCTTAGGAGTCTATCAATGAACTGAGGCTACGCGGAACCCTTTCTTGTCTAATCCTTTTTCCTTGCGCCACTCGCTTTCTTTTACGTTTCTTTCTAAAAGACCTTAGGGGTCGCTCCCGATGAAGCACTTCCTTTTCCTCTTTCTCTTCTTCTTGTCCTGACGTACGCAAGTAGTGGGCTGATTCACCCGGGAATCTTCCATTACTTGATCAATTCCAAACAATCTGTTAGTCAGAAGAGTAGTCGAGTAGCCCTACGGGCCCTACGGGAGCACCCAGCCATCCTTCAAAGTCCATGCAACAAAGTAGTTCAAGCAATCTAGTGCAAGCAATCGGATACCTCACCCGGGAGTATCCTTTTATTTGTTAGGCAGATGGTTAGGAGGTCTATGTTGAATCGTCTCAACATTTGACCCAATATTCAGAGAACATTTTAGATCCAGGTGTCAATACAAAATTAAAGCTAGTAATAGGCGGCCTTCACGGAAGCCTCCTATTACTCCTTGATCAAAGTTCAGTCTTTGTCTCGAAAGTGTAATAGGACGACTCTACAAGAGCCACCCTGCTACTTACTTAGAGTCAGACGAGCTAGGATTATGTTAGTGGACTCAGGCGCACACCAGATCCTCCTCTAACAGGAGTATCTTACCACGCTTGTTAAGGTGAAGTCAGAGAAATAATGGGATGACCCCACGTGAGTCTCCCATTCTCTGACTTAACGTTAGATAGATCGTTAACTTCTACTCATACCACCCATTAGTCATACCTGAACAAGTAGTAGGGTTTACTCACCCGGGAGTATATCTCTACTGTCCAAAACACATTTGTCTCATCCCTGCCCTCAGTTAGTTGACCCCCAAACCAAACAAGTATTAGGACAACCCACCCGGGAGCCATCCTACTACCAGTTTGATGCATTGGAGATCAAGCACAACTCTTGATTGAGTTGACCTGACAGTTCACCTAACTGGCCTGTGTACTGTAAATGAACAAAAGGTATTTTGACTTCCACGGGAAGTCGGACAGATCGACCCAGACTTAGGAGTTTGTGCACTCACCCACGAGTTATCGATTCCTTTCCCAGTTTGGTCCGATCGGTGATAGGAGAGCCTCACGGAAGCCTCCTGTTAGTCTTTGCCTTTGTTAGCCTTTTGAAGACGCGTACCCTATGAGAGTACTGGGTTAATTGGTTTTTGTTAAGTTGAAGAAGTGTACCCCTCGGGAGCACAATATCAATCGCCTGTTGTCAAGTTGAAGAAGCGTACCCCACGAGAGTACCGGATCAATGGTTGTTGTCAAGTTGAGGAAGCGTACCCCACGGGAGTACCGGATCTGTGACCGTTGTCAAGTTGAAGAAGCGTACCCCACGGGAGTACCGGATCAAAGGGTTTTTGTTAACGATTGTAGCGGTGTACTTCACGGAAGCACCGGATCAAATTGGCTTTTGTTAACAATTGAAGGAGTGTACTTCACGGAAGTACCGAATCAAATTGGTTTTTGTTAACAATTGAAACAGTGTACTTCACGGAAGTACCAAATCAAATTGACAACTGAAGGAGTGTACTTCACGAAAGTACCAAATCAAATTGACTTTCGTTAAACCGAAGGAGTGTACTTCACGGAAGCACCGGATCAAATTGGCTTATGTTAACAATTGAAGGAGTGTACTTCACGGAAGTACCGAATCAAATTGGTTTTCGTTAGATGATTGAAAGAGTGTACTTCACAGAAGTACCGGATTACTTCCTACACCTAGCCTGTAATGTAATGAGAGAACTGCACTGCAGCCTCTCGTCACCAACGCCGCAATCAAACAGACTTTTCATCAATTTATTACCTTAGTCATATGAATGGCAGGGTAGCATGGCGATCACCCCATCATCCAGTTTAGTAGACTAATACAAGCGACGTGACGACCCTATGAGAGCCTCCATCACACCGCTTTGTCTTTCAAACCCAGGCAGATTAGGTAACTTTTCGGTTCTTCCTAGGTTCCTTTATTCTATCAAGCAAGATTCTTACTTAAATCATACGTTTATTCATCTTGTTCTTAAAGTTTTATTCTTGAAGAAAGCATGAAACAATATAGCATGCATCCATACATGCAGCTTGATAGAGAGTTGTAGTCAGTAAGGGATACAGGAAATGATTGAAACATGCGTACCTTACAGTTCGTTGTCTCTAGAGTTCCTCCTGAACACCGACAGAGCTCCTGCAATTGCTTTGTTGTCTGTCTGTTTGAGTATCCTTTTTCATAGAGTAGACTTCCCAAAAGATATCATATTTTTTCAGATAAGTGTGAAAGCAAAAGGAAGTAAGAGGATTAGTTTACAGGAGAATGGGGAAGGATGGAGGAGGCAGACACCATCACACGGTGACGATGTCTGTCTCCTCTCTAATGCCCCATACTTCTCAAATCTGATCCTCCCTACTTCTTTCGATATCAATCAGCCAATCAAAGACCCACAAGGTGATGCTTAAGAATGAAACGATCATAATAATAACTTTGAAAAAATATAGAGAAGAGAGAATCGAAGAGACCAGGTCAAAGGAGAGGGGAGAAGAGTGGAGGAGGCAGGTACCACCACATGGTGACGGGGTTCCTTCCTTTTTAGCGTCCTTCCCTTTCTTCTTCCCTGTCTCATGATGCTCAATATCAAAAATAATCCCTACTTAATATTTAGTAAAATAATAATAACAATAATAATAGTAATAATAATAAACAATAATAATAACAATAATAATTGTACAGAACATGATTGTGAATGTCGTATAGAAACTCAAGTTGTGAATCCAACGGC